ACTGCTAACACTTCAATGGTTGCAAAAAAGCAATTCCTTTTTAGTTTAGTGGCAATACAGGCTCCCACCCCAACTGTTCATTGCTGTAAGACTTCTAAGAAATTATTTCATGGGATGTGGGTGTCGCTGGCAAAATTTATTGCCCATCCCTAATGCACTGCAGCAACTCACCAAGGCTCCTTAGACAGCCCTTTCCAAACGCATGACCACCTCCATCTAGGACAAGGGCAGCAGATACATGGGAACACCACCCCCTGCAAGTTCCCCTCCAAGCCACTTACCATACTGACTTGAAAATGTATCTCCATTCCTTCACTGTCACTCGGTCAAAAACCTGGCGATCCCTCCCTAAGGGCATTGGAGGTCTACCCACACTCCAAGAAGGCAGCTCACGACCACCTTCTCAAGGGCCTAGTCAGCAATGTCCACATCGCATGAACAACTAAAGAATAATTGCCCTCAGTAGTTCAGACTTGACCACATTGCTGTGGGTCTGGAGTCATGTGTAGGCCAGACCAGGTATAAATCATAGAATCCCTACTGTGTGGAAACAGGCCCTTTGGCCCAACAAGCCCACACTGACCCTCAGAGCGTCCCACCCAGACCCATACCCCTATAACCCACCTAAGCTACACAGCCCTGGACACTATGGGACAATTTAGCATGGCCAATCCACCTAGCCTGCACATCTTTGGACTGTGGGAGGAAACCAGAGCACCCGGAGGAAACTCACGCAGACACAGGGAGAATGTGCAGACTCCACACAGACAGTCGCTTGAGGGTGGAATCAAACCTGGGTCCTTGGCGCTTGGAGGCAGCAGTGCTAACCATTGAGCCATCGTGCTGCCCAAAAGTAAGGATGGCCGATTTCCCTTCCCTAAAGGGCATTAGTGAATCAGATGGGTTTGTACAACAATTGATGATAGTTTTCATGGTCACCATTTCCAAGACTAATTTTCAATTCCTGATTGTATTAATTGAATTTAAATTCCACCAGCCACCATGGTGGCATTTGAAACCATGACCCCAGTGCATTAACCTGGATGTCTGTTCAGTGATGTTGCCATTCCCCCCTGCAGCTAAGTGAGCTGATCTCAACCAGGGCATCACATGGCACCACCCTGTTAGCCTTGGTGCTTTTTGAGAGAAGGTGGGGTGGGGAAATAAGAGTTAAACTTTGGATCTTTACTTCTAGTTCCTGTCCAGTGAATCCTCACATACTGTCCACAAAATTAGTTTGGGCTATAATGCCTCATCCAGTCACATAGCTTGCTGATACTGTCACCTCCCCCCCACCCCAGAATGAGAACTAAACCCAGAGTTGAACTAAATACCTGAGAGCTGTCAGTGAATGAGAAGCTGTACCCCTGGAATAGCAGCACTTCGAGGTAGGAGGGACGAGGATCATGAGAGGACAGGGAAAGGGGAGTCGTGCATGAGGGAAGCAGAAACTCCCATGTCTTCAATTGATATGTCACATTGCTTCCAATAAATCCTGAAAGTAAAGAACCGCATTGTCCTGATTTTCACAGCCACCTACCTGCTGGCCCCTTTAACTGACCTTTACCGGAAGGCAGAAAGGTGAATTTACATTTATATAGCACCTTTCCTGACTGGATGTCCCAAAGTGCTTCGCAGCCAATGAAGCAGATCTGAGGAGCAGTCACAGTTGTAATGCAGGAGACATAGCAGCCACCTGAGAGAGCAGCACCCCCTGCTGGTTCAGAGACCCCTTTCCCTGGTCAGATGGCCATCCGTTCAAATCCCACTCCAGAGACTCGAACACAAGATCGCAACTGCAAGTTCAGCTCAGCACTAAGTGAGTGCAATGCCATCTTTCAGATGAAACGTGAAGCAGGAGCCTGTGGTTTACATCATGGCCTTCTGCCAGGCAGGATTTTGACTGACATACCAGCCAATGTTCCAGTGGGTCAAAGGCACTAACTGGCAGTCACCTTCCACGGAATTACTCCTATTTTCTTGCAATAGGTCCACTTAAATCAGCAAATAGCTGAGGGAGAATGCTGACACCAGACTTGGTTGCTAAAGAAATTCAGGACATTGTGCATTGATCAACCTTCCTTCTTCACCTAACCCTCCCCATTGGAGTGATCCCCGACATCAGCTGAGACCTCTTACAACCACTGCTTGGCATCATAGCATCTTCCAACTGTGCAGATTACACAGAATTGATAGCTCATAAACAGGCTATTCAGCCCAACTGATCCATACTGGTGTTTTTTTCTCCACTTGAGCCTCCTGTCACCGCAGCCCAATATAATAATGCTAATGTATTGTCTGCAACTCGACAGTTATACCAATGCAGGCAGAGCTTAACTACAATGCTCTGGAAGAAAGTAACCATGTTATAACATCAGGATTATTGTGCAGTGGCTTTATTTTTGCTCAGGAGTATGGGCAGACTTCCATTAATGTCAAAAAAGAGATCAAGTACACCAATACAGTACTTACAATCAATTCCACTTTCATCAATGCTTCCATATCAGATATCCTTTTGGACAGTGCTTTTATTTATTATTGAACATCTTACTAGTATGCACTGAAAATCCAACATATTTTGTTTTTTTTTTTAAGAAAGGGTCTTCTTTAATGTGCTTACCTGGTGTTTCTGTGTCTCACATTCCATAATGGGCGGAAATGAAATAATCTTCCTGCAGAAATTCCAGGTCATCAGATGGTTCCAACCACAATAGAAAAGGAAATTCCAATGCTGCAGGGGCAGTGGGAGGGGACACATTGGGATTCAAATCACAGATTCTTTTATCTTCCCTTCCTTGCTTCTGTTGAATATCCTGGTCAGAAGCAGCCCTCACCTCAGCTTCCTGCCAGCCAACCATTCACATATCAAATGATGGGGAGACTAACATCCTTGAAACAAGTTAAGGTCAAAGTTGATCTGGACAGGATTGGAAATAAAAGTGGAATACATTGGACGTACCGAGCTGAAAGGATACATCCGTCTCTCAAAGTATGACAGAAACACAGAAAATAGGAGTAGGCCATTGAGCCCTTTGAGCCTGCTCCTCCATTCAATATGATCCAACTCAGTCCCCTGTTTCTGCTTTCTCCCTGATCCCTTTCATTCTAAAACCTATATTTAACGCCTTCTTTAAATTTGATAAAGTGACTGATTACCAACAGTTGCAGTAGCCTGCACCCCTCCCCCAATTTTATATGCTTTGATGTGACCATTTCACTTTATTTCTACGTCATCCAGTATAAGATCTCAGCAATCTACTATGACTGATGATAAGCAATTGGAAATCCCCCTTGACACAAGTATTCCTCTCCAATTGGTTTATTGTGATGAATTCTTCTATCCACTAGATACAAGTCCATGCTTTTCCCATTCGACAAAAAGAAATAATGTCTAATCAGCCAAACACCTACTCACCTCCTGGCTGGGCACAGATGCAAATTCTATCAGGTACCGCACCTTTATCCTGATGGTACAAGATCTCAGTCTCATTCAATAAACCATTTCAAATGCTCTCTCGAGCCTGTGTTGTATTAGGCAAAAGCAAATGTTGATTTCTGGAAGCGTCAAAAAAGGCCGATAACCTGAGACATCCCGTGGCATTGTAAGTGTTAAGATAGACTTCCAAAGACCTTCATGTTGGACTATACTTCCACAATTGAGCCAAACTAGGAGACATGATATAAAGTTCAAATAAAAAGCAAAGGTGGGTCAAAAGGGGAAATAAGTATTCCAGGTAACTCAGCCAAACAAGCTTTGTGTAACTTTTAAGAAGAATGAGGACTTCTTAATATCAATATTTCATGTCCATTACTTGATCTACTCACCACCTAATAGGTCTGGTGTTCCAGGAGATCATTAAGTATGTTCAAGTCTGTGATAGATTTTTAATCTGTAAGGGAACCAAAGGTTATAGAGAAAAGGCAGGAAATTGGAGTTGAGGATAATCAGATCAGCCATGTTCTTATTGAATGGTGGAGCACATTTGATGGGCTGAATGGCCTACTTTTCTTTATATGTCTTATGGAGATCCTGCACCATGGACTGGGAAATGATTTACAGAGGAAAATGATTGCTGGTTATAAATGTGTTGATATTAGGGTAAAATTGTACAGGTCACCTTTGTGCCACATATTTTTTCCATATTTTGGCCTCCAGCTCAGGCCAGACAAAGCAACTGGTCAGGTAGAGAAACAAGGATAAAAATCAGTGTGTGATGTGTTTGCTTTTCCAGTTTTAAATGGGTGTATTTAAACACTGGAAATACTGAGTCTAGTGGCCAATCTGTGGAACAGCCTACATTCACGTTTCGCAGACCTTCGATCCACTGGTTTAGGTCCATTTTTCAGGCATCAGGCACCTAAAACAGGGAGTTGGCCTTCTTTCTGTTAAGCAGGGGCCTAACACTGACTGAGAGATGTCATTGCTCAGAATTCTTCAAAAAAGAAATATCGTTCTTGAAACTCCCAGGAGTGCTTTAATTCTGGCTTGATGATTTCTGCATCTCGGCCCATCTCCTTCAGAACCATCTCTGGTTATCATATGAAAACCTGGAATATTTATGAGATGAAAGATTTTTTTCTAATTCTACACAATGTATTAGGACAAATGGTTTTTGGTCTTCATCTTGAAGTCAGATAGAATGCCTGCTAGAGTTTGTACCTTTATACCCCAGTAGGATCAAGATGACAATTGGATTGAAGTAGTATTCCAGCACTGGGGTTGTGAAATATTTTGTTTCTGGGGCCCTCATCCCATTTTATCAAAATTCTAGACCCTTGTAATGCAGCAGAAACATTTTTTTTTCTGTATATATGTGTATATATTAAAAAAAGTAAAATGAAACACATATATTTGTTACTTTTATTTAATGTGATACTTGTTGCTGGTGCTGAATAACATTTGTCAAGTGGTGGAGATATCTTAGATAAAAATGAGTAAAAAGTGAGAGGATTGAAATGATAAAATATCCAATGCAGAGATCATGAGACAGGGGAAACAGTTAACCAAAAAATAGGAACATGAGAAACCAAAGCATGCAGAAATTACTAAGTGTTGGGGGTGGGGGGGAGGGGAGATGGTGAACCAAAAGCTAGAAATAATTTTCAGAACTTGATGTTTAATCAAGTGCATTTCTGAAAATGAGTGCTGTCCCTTTACCTGTAATTTCAATCATTGATGATTTCCCATTCAGTATTTTGTCCAACTCTGCTGTGCTCAAGCTAGGTTTTGTCCTGGTGTTCACATCCCATTTTCTCAGAGAATGTATTATTGAAATGTCTTATTGCTGACATACACTATTTGGCTGCTCTGACCATGACCCAGTAAGGGAAGATAGTAAACTGGCAACTTTCTGATAGTGGAGGTTGGGTCCTTGAATATATTCAAGGCCATTTTCAGTGATTTTAAATCGAGTTACTCATCCTGGACATCTTTGGAAAAGGGTTGAATAGTTGGTGATTTAACCCATTGTCAACTGCATTAATGAAACTGCACTAGGTTACCACTCTTAACCAAATCAAGGAAGACTAGAAAGAAGACTGGTTCCTGAAAGATGATGATGCTAATACATTTCAGTAGAAGCTTTAAGCCTAACCTAACCAGGGCAATTTCAAGCACAGTTTGGCTGCAATTTCCTGATTGTATCCAAAGCAGAATCTCTATCCCAAACACACACGTGTCAAATCACAGAGACAACCTGTCTCTGTACAACCACATGTAAGATCTGCCAACACTTGGTATGTGCAACAAGCACCATCTTGATACTATGCACCAATTAAACTTTGTTGGATCATTTAGAAGTCAATGAAACCCCAAGGCAGGTCTAGAACAGCTTCCTTATGATCATGGTTCACTTATGTTCTGGATGATCCTGGAGGCACTTAATAAATTCAGAGACCGGCTTGCTTTCGTAACAAATTTGGTACACGGCAGTGAACAGAGGGAATCTAGAAAGAAACAAAAGGTTTCACACAGTCAATGTGCATGTGGTAATAAAGTGGTTATGTTACTTGGACTGGTAGTTTTAACTAACCAAGACACCGAGTTAAAATCCCACTGTGGTGGTTGGGAGAAACTCAACAGATACAGCAGGAATTTAAAAGCTGGGTTCTGTAATGGTAACCATGGAAAAACTATCGGATCACCTTTAAGGAAGGAAATCTGCCACCCTTACCTAGTCTGGCCTACCTGTCACTATCAATTGCCCTCAGAAGCAGCCCAGCAAGCCACTTGGAAAATGGTTATGGCACAAAGTGAGGCTATTTGGCCTTTCACCTTTTCTGCAAGAGCAACTCAGCTCGTCCCATTTCCCGATAACCCTGGATTTTTCTTCTTTAGGTAATTATTCAATTTCCTTTGAAACCCCACAATTGAAACTGCCCCCCATCACCCCCATCAGGCAGTGCATTCCAGATCCTATCCACTTGCTGTGCATAAAAACTTTCTCATGTCCTACTTGGTTTATTTGCCAATTACATAAAATTAGGGTCCTCAGATTCTCAAACCCTCCACAAATAGGAACAGTTTCTATTCTGTCTATGCTACTCTGTCTAGACCCCTCATGATGTTGAGATTTTATTCAATATGGTGGCTCACTACCACCTTGTCCTTTATTTCTTATCTGTTTAGGGAACGTGGGCATCACTGGTTGGGCCCAGCATTCATTGTCCATCCCTAGTTGCCCCATGAGAAGATGGTGGTGAGCTGCCTCCTTGAACCGCTGCAGTCCAATGTCCTTAGGGAGGGAATTCCAGGATATTGACCCAGTGACACTGAAGAACGGTGATATATTTCCAAATCAGGATGGTGAGTGGCTTGGAGCTGGTGATGCTCTGATGTATCTGCTGTGCTTGTCCTTGTCAGTGAACTATAGTTTGGAAAATGCTGTTGAAGGAACCTAGTTGAGTTGCTGCAGTGCATCTTGTAGATGGTACACACTACTGCCACTGAGCGTCAGTGGTGGAGGGAGTGGATGCTTGTGGATGTGGTACCAATCAAGCGGCTGCTTCGTCCTGGATGGTGTCAAGCTTCTTGAGTGTTGTTGGAGCTGCCCCCATCCAGGCAAGTGGGGAGTATTCCATCACACTCCTGACTTGTGCCTTGTAGATGATGGACACGCTTTAGTTCCTTGATGCCACACTCGGTCGAATGCAGCCTTGATATCAAGGGCTGTCATTCAGCTTTTTTGTCCATGTTTGAACCAAGGCTGTAATATATTGATGACATCTTCAATCACTTTACTGATAATTGAGAATGGACTGGATTGGATTTGTTCTACTTTTTGTGTACAGGGCACACCTGGGGCAAATTGCCACATTGTCGGGTAGATGCCAATGGTGCAGGTGACCCGAAGGGCAATTAAAGGTGCCCTTCCAACAGTGCCCATGTTCCATGAACAACATCATCATCGGCATCCCAAAGACAGTTCCCAGTTGGGGGAAAAGAAAAACATGGCCTTTATGGTCACTACCAATGAGTCCTGGGGCACTTTGTTGCTACATTAGTTGTGGCTCAGTGGGTAACACTCTTGCTTCTGTTATTCCTGTCAAGTATTCATTTTAAATTTATTGGCTGTAGCCAAAGACTGGACTTTTTTAAAAAGGCAGTTGTTTGGAGATATTCACAGTATTCAACTATGGAATAATGAACCATTCAGAAGGTAAATGTTTGAACAAAAGACTTTGATCTTCTTAAGATCACTGCACAGACCTGAGATAATCAAAGCTACCTTTTTAAATATAGAATGGATTATTCACCGTTTGATGGCAGATAGTGAAATATCATGTGATTAATCAACTTGATTAAGAGTCACGGACCTGAAACGTTAACTCTGCTTTCTGCCCACAGACGCTGCCAGACTTGCTGAGTTTCCCCAGTGATTTCTGTTTTTGGTGCTGTGTAAAGGACGTTTTTTGCAGACAGCACTATCAACATAAAGGAAACTGCTGCTCTCTATGTCTCCCTCTCTCTTTACCCTTTGATCTATGACAGCACTCTGTCTTCTCACCTGGGTGAGTTATTGTAGAATCGCTACAGTGTGGAAACAGGCCCTTCGGCCCAACAAGTCCACACTGACCCTGACAGCATCACCCCCAGACCCATCCCCCTATAACCTACCTAATCTACACATCCCTGAACACTACGGGCAATTTAGCATGGCCAATCTACCCTAGCCTGCACATCTTTGGACTGTGGGAGGAAACCGGAGCACCCGGAGGAAACCCACGCAGACACAGGGAGAATGTGCAAACTCCACACAGACAGTCACCCGTGGGTGGAATCGATCCGTGTCCCTGGTGCTGTGAGGCAGCAGTGCTAACCACTGAGCCACCATGCCACCCAGTTATAGCTTAATAAAACAAACTCTTTACTTGCTAACCTCAAGGGAACCTAGCTAATGCTTTACAAACAGCACACTGAAAACACACTGAACTGGTAAATGCATCCAATTTAAATTCAAAACCCTGCTACAATTAAATGAGGAGTGGGAAAATGTGCGACCCTTTCCACTGGGCCCCACTTGGGTAAAATAAGGAAGTCATGAGTTCAAGTCTCACTCCGGATAACAATCTAGGCTGTGCCACCCCGGTGCAGTGCTGTGGGAGTGCTACATTGTTGAAGGCACCATCTTGGAGATGAGATGTTAAACCAAGGCTCCCTCAAAAGGTACCACAGCATGGTTTCAAAGCAGACCGAGTGGAGGCGTCCTGGCCAGTATTGATCTCACTGGCTAAAGGGTTGGTCACCATGAGACAGAGATTGAAGAGCACTGGGGTGGGGAAACTGAGGAGAATGTTTCGACGCACTGAGTTGATGGGAAATGGCAACAGTGGAGATTGCAAAGTAACTTTAAAAGGGGACTCGGGTAAATACTCAAAGAGGAAAAGAAAACCTGCCAACATTTTAGGGAGAGAGAAAGGGAGTTGCAGAGCTCTAATAAAGAGCCAGCACAGGCGTGATGAGTTACATGGCCTCTTTCTGTGCTCTGCCGCTCCAGGGAGCAGCCAACTGCACTGTCTTGTACATGTTATCGAGGCACGAGCTGCCCTACCACAGCTAAACAAAAGCAGTAGTTACCCCAGGTGGGTGCATGATGGGAGAGCAGGGAGCTAGGTTGTGCTGAGTACTTACTTATCAACCAGGTTTTGGAGCTGTAAAGTGCGATTGATTTCAATTGCTGTCTGTGGTCCCTGTAGTTTCTGCCCATTCAGCATCTCTTCTTCCAGCTGTTCAATAGACTGAGGAAGGATAGAACAGTTAGCTAACAAGAAATTACTTCAGCTCAGCGGGTGGTTTTATCTTGAGAGGAATGAGCACTATCTGCCTGATTCCATAGTGTGCCAGAATCAGCACAGGAATGGGACTCGTTCAGTTTAGGAAATCTGGTCGGCATGGACGAGTTGGGCCGAAGGGCCTCTTTCCACACTGTATGACTCTATGATAAAATGGGCTCCAGTGCCCCTTAACTAGGGTGGGGGAGGGGCCACTGGCCACTACCTCCTGACCCCAGTGGTGCTCCCTTGCGACCTTTGCTGGAAACGTTTAACACAGGAACAGGAGGACAGCAACTCAATTGCATGGGGCCTGCTCAGTCATTCCGTCAGATCATGCCTAATCTGTCCCTTAATTCTATTTAGCAGCTTTTTTCTCCAGACCTCTGCTCACCCATCTCTCTATCTTCAAGGGGGATGTGGCTAGATCTTTGGATATGATGGGGGTAGCGTGTAGACAGGTGGAGTTGAGGTTGATCGGCCATGATCGAGTTGAATGGCGTACAGTCTTGAGGGGCCGAATGGCCTACTTGCATTTCTTATGTTGAACAACTGTTCCTAGGAAACAACCAGATTGTTAGAAAAACCCATCTGGCTCACTAACGTCCTTTAGGAAAGGAAACTGCCACCATTACCCGGTCTGATTTACATGTGACTCCAGACCCACAACAATATGGCTTAACTGCCCTCTGTGCTGGTAAAACACAACACTGAGATATCAAGAAGGTAGCTCACCACCACTTTTGCAAGGGGCAATTAGGGATAGGTAATAATGCCGGCCTTGCCACTGATGCCCATAAGGAGAATGGAACCACAGTGCCCATCACCAATTATGATGCAAAAGGAGGCCATTTGGCTCGTCAAGTCAATGCCGGCAGTGTCAGGTAAAGGTTGTTAACGTGGCTCATGTTTGAAGAAGGTCCACTTGGCTGGGAGCCTCTGAAAGGGGGTACTATCAAAATTGGGTGCCTCCAGGCAAGACGGGCCTTCAGGTCATCCACTAGGTTGCTGATGGCAGGGTTGGAACTCAGGGGTCGGGGTGGGGTCAAGCTGGTCAGCAACCCCCGCTCCCTACCATTAACCCCCCTTCCCCCTACCTTGCCAGTCTTTGCAAAGGCCTCCGCGATTTTCCTGTTGCGGCCTCTGTAGCAGGTGGCGATGAGGTCAGCCACGCCACAGCTCTCGAGGAAGATCGAGTCCTGCACCAGGCCCTCACAGTGAAGCCTCACAAAGCCAATCATCTCCATCAGCCCCAGGCGGATCACTGCAGCCTTCGTGTTGTCACCATAGCCCAGTCCATCACAAAATCCGGCCCCCAAGGCAACAACATTCTGGAAGAGAAAGGAAAACGGGGGCATAAGATACCGCGCAGTGGCCAGCATTCAGAGAAACAGGGCAAGCTGGAGGCCTAGATAACTCACCGGGACCAGTGAACTGACCAAGTCAGTGAAAAGAAAGAAATTGCATTTATATCAAATCCTACAACACATGCCGAGGCATGGTGGCCAAAAGCACTTTGAAAGCATGATGCACTGTCATCAAATGCAGCATCAATTTGCAAGGTTCCAAAGATAGAATCATAGACTCCCTGCAGTGCAGAAGCAGGCCATTCAGCCCATCAAGTCCACACTGACCCTCTGAAGAGAATCCCACCTGGATCCTCCCCCTCTACCCTATCCCCATGACTCCGCGTTTCCCACCAATAGCAAGAGAAATAACCAGATCATCCGTCTCTTTAGGTGTTGGGCTCTTTATATTTGTTCATGCTAGTGTACATATTCTCCATTAAGGGACTAATGGTACCAAAAGTACCAAAAGCAAAGCTACCAGTAAAGTCTATGGGATCTTTTATTTTCCCATGAGTAGGCAAACAGAGGCCTGAGTTTAACAATTCATTTGAAAGACAGTGCAGCATTCTCTTTGTATTCCAGTGCATGGACACAGAAATTCATCTCCTCATGGGAATGGCAGTCTCAGTAAGAGTGCCTGGGAGGGAGTCTTCCTCCATCCTGCAGAAAAATGACCATCTTTGTCTTGTTGGCTGCTTCCAGAGTACCAGATTCAGCTCTTTTGCCTTCAAGTTATTTACTTGAGAATACAGCTAGGGAGAAGTGATATAGAAATCTGTAATCAAATATTCTCTACAAAGGTCATCTATGTGCAGGCGTTTTGTCAACTCCTAAATTCCCTCCTTGCTGTCTGGTCGGGACAGTGGATTTTAAGCCCCACCACCACCCTCACCTCAACAGCCCACGTCTTGGGAGCAAACCTAGCAGTGTACCCGATTCAGTGCCACACTGTGGGTGGTGCAGTTATCCACTTACAGCAACCACTGACAGGCACCATTCAAGCCTTTGCTCCATCATTGTTACATCACGCCGTCTCAGTGAGTCCAAAGAAAAAACAAACTTGCTTTTATATAGTGCCAGGCCCAAACCTCAGGCCATCTCAGAGTGCTTTACAGCCAGTGAAATGAGACTGAGATGCAGCGTTGGGAATGTGGCAGCCAATCCACGCACAGTAAGCTCCCAGAAATGTCAACATGATAACGACCAAATTATAACTTTTTTTTTGCGATGTTGGTTGAGGGACAGGGCACCGGGAAGAATTCTCCTGACCCGCTTTCAATTGTCACACGGGATCTGTTAAATTCAACTGACAGGGTAGGTGGGGTCCCAGGTGAACATTGCATCCAGAAACCAGTGCCTTCAGAAGTGCTGCACCCACTCAGTTCTGGGGTCTTGTGCTCAAACTCTGGATTGGGACTCAAACCCTCACACATTTCTGAGGCGGGACTGCTGACCACCTTGCTCATTCTGTGCTGTAAAAATCTAATCAGTGTTGTATCTTTACAGTCCACAAGACTTTGCAGCAGTAACAAGCACAATGACAAATTCAAAGTTAAAATAATGATCCTCAAAGGAAACGGGGGAACCGTGTGCGAGAGCTTCACAGACCTTTAACGCCCCACAGATCTCCACAGCGTCTGCCTCCTCCACCACCCTGAGCCTGAAGTTTCGAGTCTGCAGCAGTTCTTTTAAAACCTTTCCATGTTCAATGTTTGCAGATCCTAAACAGTAGAAGAGATCAGGGAAAGTTTTGTCAAAAGAATTAACACTGTCAATGGCACACATGACACTGTGGTTGACCAGAGGTATCTTTACACAGTATGAACAGAAGCCAGGGAACATCATACATTGAGCTCTGTGAGCAGCTCTGATCACCAATACAAAAAGGGAGATGTTGGAGGCCTGACAGTAGTTCCAGAGGCTCGTGGCTCTTCCAGCCATAGGTTGGTTCTTCCCCACATTTGCTGCTGATGGCTTCACCAGCAATCCTGCAGCAGCACACGGAGGAGAGGAAAGGGCCTCTCGCTGGAGCAGCAGCTCTTTGCAACATCTTCCACTTACAACTTACCAGAATTTGAAACTGCAACGTCAACAAAAAAACACAAGCAGAACAATCAAACATTTCACAAGCCGACAATTGGTCACTCCACGTCATGTCTTCCCTGGGTCTATGATCCTTTTTGTGTAAGATTATGTAACAATTCATTAGTGGAACCCTATGACTGAGCTGTAAATTCATCCACCAGTAAAGCAGGTGTTTAGCTGTTCTGGAGGACTGTACATGGCTTGCAGGCTGTAGGTTAGGCACCCTTAGGCCAGATGGATGAAGTAAGGTGGGCCCAATCTTCATCTACTTCTTCTTTTATGCCTCTTCACCAGTGAAGATGATATCTAGACCTGACTGTACCCCCGCCTTCTCCACCCAACCCTGTAGTCATCGCTGAGGCCAGATAGTATCTGGGTGCCGATATCTTAGATGCCAAATAGTGGCCCTCCCCAGTTTATATCACTGTAGGTATACAGCATAGGCACTGAAAGCTGTGTACAAATATGCAAATGCTCTATACCTATGGGCATCATACCCAGTACCTCGTGATGGATGACTGTGAGATATTACCAATGGTGGACTCGCAGAATTTCTCAGCTGCTACTTCATTGGCGAGATTCGCTCCCATTAGCACGCTAACTTCAATTCCAAGTGTCTCCCGGATTATGTCAGAGATCAGCTTCAGGCCATACAGTCCAACATCAATACCCTGCAGCAAACAACATTGAAGAGCTTGATTTTATTGTATAAATTTATTATTCTTCATAAATGAATGCATTATTTATTGATTTCATTATGTCATTGCAAATTGCAGGATCAACTTTGGAAGATTAAACAGAAGGATTTTGTTCAGCCCATTATTACAGTACTGTATAGTTTTAGAATATATATTTGTTCATGGGATGTGGGTGTTGCTGGCTGGACCAGTATTTATTGCTCACCTCGAATTACCCCTTGAAAAGGTGGTGCTGAGCTGCCTTCTTACAGTGCTGTAGTCCATTTTATACAGATACACCAGGCCAGAAAGGGATTTTGATCCAGCAACAGTGAAGAATGGTGATGTACCATATAAACTCAAGTATTAATTGAGCTCATGTATAAATGTTAACTCCCAGCTTTTCACCCAAAATTCTTCATTCTTCACATACCTTGTGCTAGTGTTGGGAACGGGATTGGTGGCAGTGGACTAGTGAGTTTTTTTTAACAACTAGTTCTTTTCTCATTTAAACATCAGAAAGCAGTAGATGGCTTGGGACAGGTGTTCCCAGCTGAATTCAGCACCACAGACAGCAACCCGCATCAACATCATTATTGAGCCCTACTTTTTGCCTAAAAATTTGGCGCAAAAAACCCAAATTCTACACCAAGTATATACAGTAGTTCCTAGTCAAGACGGTGAGTGATTTGGAGAATAACCTGCAGAGGGTGGTGTTTCCATGTATCTGCGACCTTTCTAGGATGAGCGTGCAGTTCGGAAGTAAGAGTTCACCTACAGGTGAGGAAAGCTGGAAAAACAGAAATAAATGGGTTTGGGGAACAGGGGAAGGATGAAGGGGAGAGGAGGCAGAAAGAGATCGAGGGTGGGAGGGGAGCAAGAAGGGAGCGGGTTAAGTGAAGAAGACCCTGTCCATAATGGAGGAACATGCTGTACCTTGATAAGAGAGACCCCAATGCTGGAACGCTTGATGTGGCCTTTCAACTCATCACAGGTCTGTCTGATGAACTGGTGCGGCATGACAAACACCAAGATATCAGCATCTCTTGCTGCATCCAGCAGCCCGGGCACTGCAACCTGAACACATTGGATAACAAACACCCATGAGGAAATGACACAACCCGGCCAAGAAAACAGAAAGTCGATGGTGGAATCTCCCACTTTACAGCAATGTCCACTTTTCACGTCCCGCCATGGCTTTTCACTTACTGCATCAACTCCACTTTTTCTCTGATCGACAATATTTTTAATTTGCGCACACGTTCAGCCACTTTTGTAGGTTTTTACATTTTTTAATGTCCGCTTTTTTTCTTCGACACTCTTTAAGCCTGTACCCGAAGAATTAACATGAGTTGCTTTTATTAACTTTGTTGTCAAGTAAGTAATTCAGAATTTTGTTAACTCGCTGTAAGAAGTCTTAACTATGCTCCTCAGTGATAGCAAGAGCTGCCGATGCTGGAGTCAGAGTTGATACAGTGTGGGGCTGGAGGAACACAGCAGGTCAGGCAGCCTCAGAGGAGCAGGAGAGTTGACGTTTCGGGTTGGGACCCTTCTTCAGGACTGGGGAGGGGAAAGGGAGCTCTGAAATAAATAGAAGAAGGAGGGAGTGGGGCCAGGGAAAGGTAGGTGGGATGGTGATAGGTGGATGCAGGTAGGGGTAGTGGGATTGGTCAGTGAGGTGGGAAAGCAGGTGGACAGGTTGTGTCAGGTTAAGGAGGCAGGGATGAGAGGGAGGGCTGGACATGGGATGAGGCCGAGGGTGGGGAGATTTTAAAACTGGCGAATTCCATGTTTAGGCCATTGTACTATAGGCTCCCGAGGAGGAATATAAGGTGTTGTTACTCCAGTTTGTGTGTAGCATCATTGTAGCACTGGAGGAGGCCCAGGATGGACAAAGTCATCAAGGGAGTGGGAGGGGGGGTTGATGACCGGAATGTGTTGTCGATTATCGCGTACAGAGTGCAGGTGCTTTGTGAATTGGTCACCGAGTCTGTGCTTGGTCTCACCGATGTAGAGGAGGCCACATCGGGAGCAACAGATACATTAGACCCCATGGCCGCCTACCCTCTCTCGAGCTGTGTTCCTCCAGCTCCACACTGTGTCGACTATGCTCCTCAGTCTAGCTTTCTGAGCATAAACAAAACCTTTTTGTCCTTTCCCTTCAAGGACCAACTGTGCTTTGGATATCCAATAACCAGCTTCTTCTCAAGGGTATTCAATTCAGATTTCCCTCCTTAGTTGCCAATGGACTTTTACTGCTCTCGCTGCTTTTTTAAAGGCTTGTTACCCCTATTACTGGCTACAAAAGGGATTTTGTGACTTACAATGATGGTTTTTCTGGACAAAGGTTCTGTTCAGAGAAGTTTCCTTCACGGTAGGAGTTCAACTGTATGACCTTCATGGTTGCTAGCTAGTGTTAAAGCTGTACCAATCATAGTTTTGAAAAGATTACTTCTAAATGTTCTTCTCTTCTCCAGATAATCTCTGGTCTGTTTCTTGATCTTCACTGCTGCCATGATTTTGTAGGCAGTATATTCCTTGGTTGCCACCGTCGTTTATGGTATGATTTGATGCCACACTGTAAGCTTCAGATCAAGACAGACTGGTCAAGGAGAAGGCAAAGTGATGAACTCTCTTCAGGCCTAGACTTCAAAGTAGCACTTATTTATTATACATTAATATTAAATACTGTCCACACATGGTCAAAGATATACCTGGCTCTGACTTATAGCCACAGTAGGTAAGGATTAATCTATCTACTTCATGCGTTAATACCCATTGGTCTTCCAGTCTGTTCTAATTCCACCCACACTGTGCCATTTATACTCTGTGATGTGCAGCTCTGTGATATCATTGCAAGATTGCGCCAGGGTCCTGAAGCCCTTACACATACATTGTTTCTGGGTCCAACACTGCATTGTATTTCGAGTGTCTAAACTTTTCTTTGCCAAGCTGTCAAAAAGAGACAGATCTGGACATGTTTTCCTTAATCTAGTTTCAAATTCCAGTTGCCATTTCTGGCCTCGGGCTTATTGAAAATGCCTGCTCCTGCCAGTGATGTTGTGATTTCTACCAGGGCTGGAATGGGGGAGTGATTCCTCGTTATTGCTCGATTAAGATCTTTGGATCCAGGCAATTCTTGGCTGTCCATTTGTCTTCTCTCTCACCACAATGGAACTGAGCTGATCTGTAGGCTCTGGCAATCACTTTTTTGAGCTCTCTTTCAGGCATTTCTTCTGGTTTGATTGGTGTGTTATGTCTAAGGACAGTCACTGGTTTCACCACTGGGTCAACAGTGATGTGATATTCAAAATCCTCAAAGCATCCAACTGACTCATCAAAACACCCTGGGTACATTCGTACCAGATCTGCCTGCCCTCAGACTGAAGGCAGCTCTTCAGTGCTCTGTGCCAACTCCTGTTCTCTGTGGTTTGCTGAGACAATCTACAGCTCTTCACAATGACTTACAACCAGGATAACAGGACTCCCTGTTTCAGTGACATCATTCATATATTTTTCTTTGTGTATCTGTCTGATTTGGGCGGTTTACAGCTGTTGAATTGCTTGTTCTCCTGCATGCCATTAGCATGATATTGGATAACCTTTTTTTCCCTCCTACTTATCAGGAAAGATTTTCTGTTATAGTCTGAGTGGGATGCTGTTTCACCGCACTTCACCTTCAGATTTGTGATATGGGCTTATTCCTGACCCTTTTCCTGATCAGTGTAGTTTTATGAATTTCTTTCCTTTGGAGGCTGTTGTGTCCAGATGTTTCATGCAGTTTTATGGTTTTTATGGTTTATTGATCGAGTTCTCATTATTGGCAAACTCCTCCAGAGCTTTCTCTCCAGTTGGAGATGCTTATTGCTGTTTCACTGTTGGCTTTCTCTTTGCTTATCTGAAGGCCAGCTGTCTAGTAGTCAGTGTCTTCGTTTGTCTGCTCATTGCTTTGTGTCCTCTGTGTCTACAGCCCGAAAAATTGTGCTTGTCCTTTCCAATTACTGCTTTCTATATTTCAGAGTGTGCAGTACCTCACATTAGTTGATCTATTAACCTTTTGACTCGGTCCTTAAACTTGCATTTACTGGCTGCATTTTTCTGTCTTGTTATAAAGTTGTCCATAGTTTCACCTATATCCTGTCTAAAGTCTTGAAATTCAATTCAATTTTGGCTGGAGGTGGGTGCTGAATCTCAATTTACGTTTGGGTTTTGCTGCCCTCTTCGGTCAGTTCCAAGCTATTAAATAAATGCAATCCTATATCTCCTGCCCATAGACAGGTATAGTTGATCATCACTTTTTACTAATGTCTTTTAGACAACTAGTGGAAGTCGACTTACATTTTGGCTTACATTTCTCGAATTGCTATGCATTCAATGCTGTGCTGGTAGACATCTGCTTTTTTTTACCCTTTGTCAAATTGGCTCAGTCTTCCTTCTGGCACTTAGGTGGGTCATTTTTTCATATCGGCAGTAAATTCAATTCGAAGTACTTTTGGTTGATTACAGACACGTACTGTCACCATGATGTGCTGATGCCACAGACTTTGTTTTAACCAGCATCTTATGAATGGCCACTTGTGATAAACCAGCAAAAGTTAAATACCTGAAATACTACAAGTTTACTGGTTTACTGCGATGTTCAGGTAGTTAGTTGAGGGTGTGATTGAGAAGGCTCTCTGCTGATAAGTTTTATTTCAGGCAAAGTTCCATAATTATTTAAGTGATTTATGCTGTAAATAAAGTATAACAGTCATGTGCATACCCTCTGCTTTACGTTTCTATTACTGACAGTGTGTTTTTACATTGATTGTGTGGACCTCTCGATTAACTGGAATATTTGATCAGCCAGCACACTCCTGGTCCCATAGGTGTCAGTTAATAAAAAAAATTTCTGTATTTAAGTTTTGTGATATTTGAATAATCACGCTTTAAATTTGAAGTGAGGAGAACTCTGATCTTGTTGAAGTTTGCAGGCAGACTATCCAGGAGAAGGACACTGTTCAGGCTTCATCAGGCTGATTCTACTGGTTCTTTCACATTACAAGACTATCCAGGTGCAGGTCTGAAAGTGTTCCCTTCTGAAACCCTCCACTCATTCACAAGTTTAGTTCCTAGCTCTAATATATAATAGACAGAATACAACATGCTAACCGCTCCCCTCTGCTAAGGGTTTGTATTCTCTCTCGAGCCAAAATTGAACAGCACTCACCACACTGGCTGGTAGCTTGCATCCCGGGAGGTACTTCACATTCTCATGCTCGGTGTTTATGATTTCTGTTAACTTCCTGCCGTTTACGATCTCTTCGAACACCCACATGTAAACAGTGCTGTCAAATGTCTTACTTTTGGCCACATTTTCTCCGACTATTTTTCCGATGACTGATCCCCTAGGGAGGCGGTGCAGAAAGATTGCATTGGTTGGAATGTAACTTGCACTTGATGAAGCGATTTGCACTGACATGGTACCTTTCACAACTTCGAGAGGGTGTAAAGCTCTTTACAACTAAAGGAAGGACATTTAAAGGGTAGTCACTGTTGTAATTTTGGGTGCAGCAAAATAGCAGCAGCAATGAAATATATAACCTGATCATAAGTTTTTAGTGGTGTTGATTGAGGATCACTGTTAGCCAGGAAGATTCTCCTGTTATTTAACTCGTGCCACAGGATCTTTCATGCCCACTAGGAAGGGCAGGCAAGGCCTCAGCTTAGAGTCTTACAGCATGGAAACTGACCCTTTGGTCCAACTCGTCCATGCCAACCAGGTTTCCCAAACTGAACTAGTCCCATTTGCCCGTTTGGCTTACATCCCTCTAAACCTTTCCGATCCATGTTCCTGCCCCAAATGCCTTTTAAATGTTGTAATTGTACCTGCCTCTACCACTTCTGCTGGCACCACCCTCTGCATGAAAAGTTGCCCCTCTCAGCTCAAACCTATGCCCCTCTATTTTTCGACTCCCCTACCCTGGGGAAAAGACCTTTTGACTATTCAGCCTATCCATGCCCCTCATGATTTTATAAACCTCTATAAGGTCACCCCTCAGCCTCCGATACTCCAGGGAAAATAGCCCCAGCCTATTCAGCCTCTCCCTATAGCTCAAACCCTCCAACCCAGCAACAAGGGCCTAGTGGTATTATTGCTGGACTGAAACCCAGCTAACGTTCTGGGGGACCTAGGTCTGAATTCCACTACAGCAGATGGTGGAATTTGAATTTAATAAATATCTGGAATAAGAACCTAATGATGACCATGAATCCATTGTCAATTGTTGGATAACCCCACCTGGTTCACGAATGTCCTTTAGGGAAGGAAACTGCCATCCTTACCTGGTCTGGCCTACATGTGACTCCAGACCCACAGCAATGTGGTTGACTCTTAACTGCCCTCTGGGCAATTAGGGATGGGCAATAAATTCTGGCCTAGCCAGCGACACCCTCATCCCAAGAATGAATTAAACACATCCTTGTAAATTTTTCCTGTAACCTTTTCCAGTTTAACAACATCCTTCCTATAATTTCTCAAAGGTTGGGACTTCCTATAGTCGTGCACTGGAGGATTTTTGATTTGCTTGTCAGATGTGGGCATGCTGGCAGAGCTGGTATCTATTGTCTGTCTGCCCTGGAGAAGGTCAAGGCGAACTGTTGTAATTACAAACAGACTGGGGGTTGTAAAACAAATCTCTCTCCCTATTCTCATCGCCTGTCCATTGCAAGATTATTGTTTTAATTCTCAATATTTTAGAAAAACACAGTGGGGCAAATTTCCCCCACTCCCTCTGCTTATGGGCTCTGACTTTTCACAGCATTATGGTAAAGTCAAAAAACAGAGTTGGTTTGTTTCACACACTGTTAGGCATGGGGGATATCCACAATACAAGCACACAAGGAGATATAGAGATAATTCAACAAAACAACAGTTTATTAATGTCGGAGATAACAAGGTGTAGAGCTGGATGAACACAGCAGGCCAAGCAGCATCAGAGAAGCAGGAAAGCTGACGTTTCGGATCTGGACCCTT